CACAAAGTAATAACACAACAACAAAAAAAAACTGTGCCATGCAAAGAATGTTAGCTGAATCTTCATATAGCTTTCTCAATTACACTAATATGAGAATGATCCTTTTGAATTTTCAAAAAAAAAAAAGAAAAGAGAATGACCATAGCATAAGGGTTATCTAGTTGATCCTGAAGAAAAACAAAAGAAACAAGAGATTGAACCTCTACCAAAATTGGTAAGGAGAAGCTTTTTCTTTCCCTTATTTATCTGACCAAACGTACAAGAATCAAACTATTAGATTTACATGAGCAATGAAATTATCATTATCTACAACACTTGATCAAATCACAAGCAGTCAACAGTTAGAGTAGTCATCTACTAGAGATAGCCTTCCATTACTTGGATGCAAAATTCTAGTAGGACTCTTATGTGAAATTATCTCCCAACTACCCATCTCTCGCCTAGTTTCCTCCTTGTGATTAGATTTCATATTCTTATCAAATGTAGGGCTTTTATCCTTGCTTTGGATAGAGTTCTTATCATTAACACTCCTACTCAAGTTGAGGTGGGAGGATGGCATCACACCCAACTTGCAGCGAAGAGACCAGAAAAACTCACAAGACAGTGGCTTAGTGAAGATTTCACTAAGTTGATCAGCAGAGCAGAAAAATTGAGTAACAATTGTACCTTGAGCAATTTTTTCCTGAACAAAATGATAATNGAAGAAAAACAAAAGAAACAAGAGATTGAACCTCTACCAAAATTGGTAAGGAGAAGCTTTTTCTTTCCCTTATTTATCTGACCAAACGTACAAGAATCAAACTATTAGATTTACATGAGCAATGAAATTATCATTATCTACAACACTTGATCAAATCACAAGCAGTCAACAGTTAGAGTAGTCATCTACTAGAGATAGCCTTCCATTACTTGGATGCAAAATTCTAGTAGGACTCTTATGTGAAATTATCTCCCAACTACCCATCTCTCGCCTAGTTTCCTCCTTGTGATTAGATTTCATATTCTTATCAAATGTAGGGCTTTTATCCTTGCTTTGGATAGAGTTCTTATCATTAACACTCCTACTCAAGTTGAGGTGGGAGGATGGCATCACACCCAACTTGCAGCGAAGAGACCAGAAAAACTCACAAGACAGTGGCTTAGTGAAGATTTCACTAAGTTGATCAGCAGAGCAGAAAAATTGAGTAACAATTGTACCTTGAGCAATTTTTTCCTGAACAAAATGATAATCTAACCCAATGTGTTTGGTCTGGGCATGAAAAACTAGGTTAATGGAGAGATCTAGTGCACCTAGGTTATCACAAAACAACGTAGCAGGTTGAGGAAGATGTATACCTAATGCACGAAGAATATATGTGACCTAAGTAATTTTATCAGTGGCAACTGCTAGAGCTCAAGAGCATATATGTGACCTAAGTAATTTGAACCAAGAAAGATAGCATAACCTGTTGTAGAACGGTGAGTGAGTGGACAACCAGCCCAATCGGCACCTGAAAAATCATAGAGCTTAATGGCTTGAACATAACGGAGAATGTGTTTAACTAAAGACATGTGTAAGTGTGGGATTATGCATATATTGACTTACTAAGTTGACAGAATAAGTAAGATTAGGACAAATAAATGTTAAATATTAAAGAGCTCTCACAAGGCTACGAAAAACATGTGGATCAGTGAGGTTTGCAGTTGATGAAGAGCAGTCAAGCTTGGTGGCTAATGGAGTTATGATTGGCTTGCAAGTATCCATTTTGGCTGGCAATGAGATGTAGGTGTAGCTTCAATGCCAAGGAAGTAAAGAAGGTTCCCCAAATATTTTATAGTAAAATGTTCATAGACTGTTTTAAGAAAATATGGATAAAATCTTGTGGTTATCAACTGTTAAAATTATATCATTCACATACAAAAGTAAAATAAGATTACCCATAGAATTGTAGAGATAAAACAAAGATGGATCCGGTTGTTAGCAGATAAATCCAATTGAGATAAGAAATTGACTGAATTTATCAAACAAAGCATGAAGAGCCTGCTTTAAGCCATAGATGGCATTAGAAAAGCTAGCAAACATAATTTGGAAATTTTGGATCAATGAACCTGGGGGTTGATCTATATACATAGGATCCTGCGAGGTTCCATGAAGGAAAGCGTTTTTTACGTCCAACTATCGAATTTCCCAATTTTTGGAGAGTGCCAAAGGGAGGACAATTCTACTTGTTTGGGGCGAAATAACTAGGCTATAAGTGTCGGCAAAATCAATATTGGCAAGTTGATGAAATCTTTTTGCAACAAGGCGTGCTTCTGGCAGGTCAATCAAGAGTACCATTGGCCAATAGCTTGGTTTTGAAAACATGTTAAACAACCATCTACTCTAAAATCTTAAAGTATTGGAGAGGGTGTAATTTAAGCATTTATACTTTAACATGCCTTCTCACATGCCGGCTAGATTTTTGGCCTAACACTTGAAAATCTTTTTAATAAATAGGGTGCTAGAAAAGTTTGAACATAAGACCTTCTACTCTGATAACATGAAGAAAAACAAAAGAAACAAGCGATTGAAACTCTACCAAAATCAACGAGGAGTAGCTTTGTATTTCCCTTATTTATATAATACCAAACGTACAAGAATCAAACTATCAGATTTACATGCGCAATGAAGTTATCATTATCTACAACACTTGTTCAAATCACTAGTAGTCACCGGTTTGAGTAGTCATCTACTNTTATCATTATCTACAACACTTGTTCAAATCACTAGTAGTCACCGGTTTGAGTAGTCATCTACTAGAGATAGCATTCCATCACTTGGATGCAAAATTCCAGTAGGAATCTTATGCGAAATTATCTCTCAGCTACCCATCTCTCTCCTGGTTTTCCTCCTGGTGATCAGATTTCATATTCTTATCAGATGTAGGGCTCTTATCCCTGCTTTGGATAGAGTCCTTATCATTAACAGATCCAACCTTCATACTCGTGGTCTTGATCCTAATACCAACTCTATGTCCAAACTAATAGCCGATTGATGAGAGTAACATATCAGAAGAAAATCCTATTTTGGCTAAGCACAGGATCACCTAGATGACCCTTGTTGACTAGGCTTATCAATGGATCAGATTTTGATTCAAATCCAATTAGCCAAATATGAATTGATATTTTTTATTTATTATCTCAACTCGAATTTGAATCTAATAGATTATATTTCACAGATTCGAATTTAGATATATCTATATCCGATCTGAATATGATCTGATTTGAATTTTTTATATATTTCTATATAAATAACTCAAAATTAAGTGATTATTTAAATAAATTTAGTTAAAATATAGATATAATTTGTTAAAATTTATTTATTTAAGTTATTGAGATCGAATGTCATTTTGATTGTTAATGGATTTGAATATGAAACACGAAAATAAAATCATTCGGATTGAATTCGAATCAAACTTTTGAAAATGGACCAAATTCGGATCAGTCAAAATCTGATACAAATCTGATCTGTTAGCAAGCCTATTGCCGTTGACTTGATCACACTGGAGGATCTTTGATCAAGCCTTTGTATAATGTGATTTCTTTTAACTGAAATATTATTTTGTACATAAAATTGTTTTGTACTTCAAAGAGAGCAAGAGAAGCAAAAATAAATAAATAAATGTAAGTAAACATATTCTCAAAAGAAACAATCATGCAATCATAACACACGCATAACCATAGTCGTACCAAACTTCGAGAAAATCTTGTGTAATCTAGCACAACTTTGCCAAAAGACGAATTTGACACAAGAGATTTTCCCAATTGTTATTTTTTTTTGGAGCGTAGATTTTCCCAATTGTTCACTATACATGTATATGTTTTTAAGAAATAATGTTAAATTTTTTGGTCACATCCTATGGCATCCTAATTCATTTTGTTTTTATATCTTTTTCGAATTAACCATGTCATTTTGTGGGGGCGGAGCGGATGTAAGTGGAGACTTAGGTGAGCAAGGCCCTAGGCAAGCATCTCTCTCACCTAGGGGTTAGGTAGTTAATGTTCATCAATCTTTAGCTATTTGGTTTTTTCTGTAGAAAGATTTAGTGTACATATACACAAATATTTCAAAGACTAAAATTTTTGACGTAAAGGTCACAATGGAAGAATAATTTTTATTTTTTAATCCTGCTGTAAATCTAGAAAATTTGAAGATGACGGGACACGAAGTGACATTCGTATCAAAGCATGCACGTGGATTGAGGTCAGGATCCAAGGAGATATTTTCCATCATGCATAGGGTAAAAGGAGATCCACGGGACTGAGCATTTAACACTAGGTTAGAGTATGGGCCCACCATGACATGACAAGTCACAGAGGAAAGATTGCCCTCACTGACCAATCAGATCAGACTGTACCAAAATCCCATGAGATTCAGATAAAGGAATGGCCTTGATTGACATCAATCTCTTGGGGGAGAACATATTTAATGGTCGGGACCAACATAATAAGTGCTCGACACAACTCAATAAATGACTTGCAGAGGTCCTTAAATGTTAAGGGAACATGCATTGAGTGTTTGTCATCCCAAGCTATGTAATCATTATAGGACCAAAGCTTGAGTTGACGCCGACCTCCTCTAGGACTAGTAATTGCATGGGCACGAAGAGAGTGTAGCTCACTAATGATTAAACCTATGAAGGCTCCCTTAGCTAGCTTGGTGGGATACCTATATTGCCACGTCACTCTATTAGAAGGTATAAATACCCTAATGAGTTAGGACACAGGTACGTATTCACGACCAATCTAGCATAGTAAAAGCCTTATTTTCCCCTTTGAGCACCTGTTGACTTACACATCAGAAGGGATAAGATGGACATGTTTCTAGCCCCTTCTTGACTCTTTTCTTTTTTGTAGGATTAAATCACAAAACTTCTTCCATGGTACTGTTATCTCAATCTATTACAGAAAATCTCCTGTGCAATTTGGTGTTGTCTGTGAGAAGAGGTTTGAACTCAAGTCTTTTCTACATAGCTGTCACCATGGTAACCACACATTCTCAAGCCAATTTGGACAGTAAGCTACACACTAGAGATGTCTGGTGCCAAATTGTAGCCCCTCTTGCCACCCTGGGCACTTCTAGTTCCCTAGATCAGTCGAAAAGAATTCACCAAGCCATTCGAGCTCTCCCCCAAGGTCTAGACCCCGCACCCGATGGGTAGGGAGGAGCACTCCTTGCGCGCAAGCTAGTGGACTTAATAGAGGAAAAGTTGGGAGACCAATTCAAGAAGATCAAGAAAGATAATGTCAATGTCATTAATCTGCTCAAGGATTATGAGATATCTGCTAGGACCTCGAAAGGGGGTAGTCGCCTAAACACGGTGGATTCTATAAAGAGCACCCATAGGATATGTTTTCAGGATCTCACATGGAGTTTGCCCCAGGATGATCTTTGCCATCGATCAGAGCAGAAGGCCTTAAGGTTAAATGCTTCTAAGCCAAAGTGTCCCCCGAGTGGCAATCCTACTGAGAAGAAAAAGTAGGCTTTACCCTTTGCTGGCTAGGACCCAAGTCATCAGCTATCACGAAGAGACGAGGCAGGGGACTCTACCAAAGACCGATTCCAAAGAGGAGGAGGACCGTCGGTCACATCTTAACCATTAATGACAAGGGAAAAAAAAGGCTGTTAAAGACGTCGAGGATGACCCCGTCATTGCATCCTTCGTATGGAAGCATCCAAGAGGTAGGAATGCCATGGAAGTTTACTATTCCCTAGTTTAAGATCTACGATAGGAGTTCTGACCCTAAGGGACACATTCGCCAGTATAAACAACTCATGTCCTTTTACAACACAAACAACAAATTGTCGTGCCAAGTCTTTCTAATGAGCCTAGAGGACACTACCACAATGAAGTGGTATGAGGGCTTACCACCCAAAAGTATAAGCTCTTGGAAACAGATGACCAATTTGTTCTCAGCCAAGTTCATTACCAGTAGCAAGAGGCCGAAAGACATCAGTGCCTTGCTTATGATGCACAAGAAGGAAGAGAAAGACTTTTTGTCAGTATGCCACTTGGTATTGGGTAGTGGTCAACGAAGTGGAGGGTTGCATGGAAATAATGGCCAACGCCACATTTAGGCTTGAACTCTCCCGGGAAATGGATTTGTATCCATTATTAACCAAGAGAAACCTACTTGCTATGGGGGACCTCTTGGCGCACATCGACAAATACTCCAAGGTCGAAGATGAAACAGTAAATTCCCATGGAAATAAAAATATTCCTGATCAGAAGGAAAAGAATCCCCCAATTAAGAAAGGTGGCTCCTCATAGGATCCCACTTAAATCTCCTTCAAAGGAGTTCACACGGTTTTTAAATAGCCAATCTACAAGTTCCTCTATAAGATAAAAAAGGAACCCTTCTTCAAGTGGCCTCCAAATATGCAAGGCAACCCATCCACCAACAAATCCATTAGTCAGTGTTGCCACCACTGAGACACTAGACACCTCATCGAGGATTGCTGGATATATAAGGTTTGTCTCATGAATTAGTCCAAAAGGGACACCTCCGAGAATAAATCAGCAGTGACAAGTGCCAAGAAAGAGAAAAGCATCGTGACACCCCGATGGGGGAAGCCATTGAGATCATTAAAGAAAATAAATGCATGTCCACTCGACTAGCCGACTAGTAACTAGCTAAGGTCTGACCTCCTAAGGGTTGCACAAGCCATGAGGGTGGAAGAAGGAAGATTCGAACTTCCTCCAGCTAAAAAGTCCTATTATAGCTTAGACCCAATCTCATTTACAAAGGCCGGCCCAGCTGGTGTCGTCCAGCCACATGACAATGCCCTCATCATCATGCTTAGAATTGAGAAGTTTGATGTGATGCGCATCCTCGTAGATTCAGGGAGTTCATCTAAAGTCAAGTATCAGAATCTCTTCCAGAATATGGGGTATGCATCGAAGGACCTATAGCCCATCAAAACCCTCTGTTCGAATTTAATGGATTATATTCCCGACCACTTGAGAATATATCCTTCTTGGTGACAATAGGGGTCGTCACACTACCGATGGAAATTATTGTGATAGACTTGGACTCTCCTTATAATGCGATTATGGGAATGACATGGTTATATTTCTTGAAAGTTGCCTACTCATCCTACCATTAGAAAATCAAGTTTCCAACTCCTTAGGGGTTATGGAAGTGTGTAGAGACCAAGACACCTCCAAGAGTTGTTTCTATGTGGCCATCAAGACTGAGGTGGACACTAAGAGAAATGACCATGATCCAGAGACAATCCTGGTGAAATAACAATCAAGGGATGGTTGGCTCAATGTTGATGAACCCTGAGTCGACCTAGTTGACAGATCCATTGAAGGCCCTATTACCATCTATCTCAACCCGAATGACAAAGAGAGGTTCTTCCTCATTGGCTCTTCCCTATCATCAGTCGAACATGAGGAAATGGCCAAGTTTCTCTGGAGTAATCATGATGTATTCACTTGGGCCCCCAATGAGTTGAATGGATTAAACCCCCAGGTCATCCGTCATCAGTTGCATGTAGACCACGCATAGGCCTGTTAAGAAAAAGCCCAGACGTTCGGCACCTCACCATGTGCAAGCCATCAATAAAGAGGTTGAATGACTATTGGACGTTGACTTCGTTAGGGAGGTACAATTCCTAATATGGATTTCCAACGCAATCTATGCTAAGAAAAAAATAGTAAATTGTATGTATGTGTGGACTTTACCGATCTCAACAAGACATGTCCTAAAAATGATTGCCCCTGCCTAAGATGGATTAGTTGTTGGTGCATGTATGCATGGATTTTACTGATCTCAACAAGGCATGCCTTAAAAATGATTATCCCCGCCTAAGATGGATTAGTTGGTGGACGCCACTGCCGAGTACAAATGCATGACATTTATGGTTGTCAGGGTAGGATATCATCAAATCTCACTATACGGAACCGACCAAGAGAAAACAACCTTTATAACCCCACAACGGGCGTACTATTACAAAGTCAAGTCATTCGGGGTGAAAAACGAATGAGCCACCTATTAGTGCCTGATGGACAAAATGTTCAAACATTAGATTGAGGATAGAAGTTTACATTGACAATATGCTAGTGAAAATTTGGCATCGAGGGGACCATTTGAGGGACCTTGCTTCACCATTCCAAACACTCTGATGTTACGAATTAAAGCTAAATGCTTCCACTTGTTCTTTTAGCATCATTTTAGGAAAGTTCCTAGGATATCGGGTTACACGCTGGGGGATAGAAGCAAACCCCAAACAAATACAGGCTTATTAGGACACACAGAACCCTGAGACTGTCAAAGGCATCCAAAAGTTCACCGAGATGCTGGTGGCTCTTAATTGATTCATATCTAAGTCCTCAAACAAGTTTAAACATCCAACCATGAGAGCATCTAAAATAATGTTTAAATAATAGAAATCATCCATCCGTTAAATAAATAACTAAACCAGTCTCAATCAAAATGTAATTAAAACCTTCTTGTTATATCCAAAACCAAAAACAATTCTTATCTTTCAACAAAGTAATAAAGACAAATATCCAAAACATTGTTAAACCATTATCTAAAACTCAAAACCAAATAAAATATATTTAAATCTCCACATTCAAATCCACATCCAGATCCGCATTTGTATCCCAATGATTTCAATTAGAATTGTGACAATTGATAAGATCTCAGGTTTATGGTAAACATAGTAAAAATTCATGGTAAGTAAGATAACAGGCCTCAAGCCACATATATAAACACAATCAACATATATCTCATATACACAAGAAGGTTGGCTAATATGAATCCATACATCAAGAATATCCTGACCCACACACACACCCAATCAAGAATACAATCCTCACAAGGATGACCCATTTTAAGATGAGCGTATACCGACGCATTGGCATTGACATAACTTTCAAGAAATAGAATACTAACTCTCCACCTTGACCACCATGAACGAATAGTGATTTGGTCCTTGCAAGGCACCAACCCCACCACGAGTTTTTGGAAACCTTCAAACTCCTCAAGGTAAGAAACTCATCTAATACCTCCATGATACTCGGTTGATTGTAAATCATGTTAATCACACCCACTCGTACATGAGATAACTTCTATAATTTTTTAAATAAAATCCAACTATAATCAAGAATCATGGTTCCATATGCTTATAATTCAAAAACTAGGGTTTTTCGACAAAGAATGGATAAATATTGGATAGAAATTATTAATACTCAAGAAACGATTCACATAGTTGAAAAGAATCCTAATAATTGTCTATCTAGTCTGTAAATAAGGATTGAAAGCATATAATAATAATCCTAGCCCAAATCTTGAATTTGAGAAAGAAACTTTACCTTTAATTCGATGTTTGGTGAAAACTCTAACACTTTGATCCATCTCCTACTCGAAATCGCTTTGAATCCTTATGTTTTCTCATTCTCTCTTACTCTCTAAGGTTACCTTGGGTTGAAAACTAATGAAAGATGGCTAAAGGGATGCCTTAGGGTATTTATAGGAGCCTAATAGCTGTGAAAATAGCATTTGCATTCGAACAGAAGATTGGGGTGTGAATGTTACTTGCTCCCAATATTTTGATTTTTGTTAGATTTTCTGCCAAAAACCAAACTACTGTAGTTAAGCCCCATTCAAATGTGATTGGCATTCAAACGTGGACCCAATTAAATGCCTTAACTTCTAGTACAACTTTTCCTCACTATGAATTCGATTCACAAAAATTTGATGAAATACACTTTTCTAGCCATAGAGGTCTAGTTTCTGTTGTCTAAAAATTAGCTCCATCTGATTTTGGTGTAAAAAATTATGATTAAAATACCATGGGGTTTTACAGCTTTGGCCCTAATAATGTCAACCAAAAAGTTGAGATACTATTTCAAGGCACACCCCATCATTGTCCTCACCGATCAGCCACTAAAGGCCAACCTTTGAAGAACAGACCTCTCTGAGAGAATAGCCAAATGGGTCATCAAAAGGGTTCATCGAGATTCAAATATCCCAGGTTTCTTGAGATCATAATAGTCATGTCGATGCACTGGCTTGCTTGACCTCGACACTCAACTCGGAGATCACCCAAAAAATAACGGTTGAGTACTTGTCACAATCCAGCCTGCTCGATTTGATCGACACTGACATTCTTCCCATCTTGCTGGGAGAAGTCAAGTCTAGTAGGATGGATCCAATATTGAAATACTTGGAAACTGGGGAGTTACCTAAATACAACAAGAAAACACAGAAGGTTAGGCTCAAAGAACCAAGGTTCCAGATTTCACCAAACCAAAAGTTGTATTGAAAATCATTTTTGGGACCCTACCTATCATGTGTCCTTGAGGACAAAATTCAGTCGTTTCTATACAAAATCTATAAGGGGATATGTGAAAGTCATACTTGGGGTTGATCTCTATCGCTTTGAGCAATCTCTCAAGGTTATTGGTATCCGTACATGTAGCAAAATGCCAAGCTATGTGTGAAAGAATATGCCAAGTGCCAAGA